AGAGACCATCTCAAGAATAGATTTGACACAATAAACACTAATGATCAAAGACCAGACGAGTTGTGGAATGATGCCAAGGACGTCACACACGAAGAAAGTAAGAGGTCATTAAAAAGACAAGAAAGAAAGAAAAGACAAAAACAGACGTCAGAAGAGATTCTGAAACTTGCTCTTGAACATTGAGTGGCTAAAGCAAACGGAAGAAATGAAGAGCTAAGCGAAGACGTCAAAGGGTGGCTCGAGAAGACAAAGTAAAGTATTATAATGACATGTGCAAAGACCTGGAGTTATAAAACCAAAAGGGAAGAACATGCTTGGCATTTCTCAACCTGAAAGAACTGAAGAAAAAAAATTCAAGCCTCGAGTTGTAATACTGAAGGGTTCTATAGGGAAAATAATGAATGACAGAGGAAGCATCAAAAGAAGATGGAAGGAATACACAGAGTAACTGTACCAAAAAGAACTGGTCGACCTTCAGTCATTTCAGGAGCTAGCATATGATCAAGAAACAATGGTACTAAAGGAAGAAGTCCAAGCTGCAGTGAAGACACTGGCGAAAAACAAGGCTCCAGGAATTGACAGAATAACAATTGAGATGTTTCAACGAACAGATGCAGCGCTGGAAGTGCTCACTCATCTATGCCAAGAAATTTGGAAGACAGCTAACTGGTCAACTGACTGGAAGAGAGCCATGTTTATGCCTATTCCAAAGAAAGGTGAACCAACAGAATGTGGAAAGTCTCGAACGTATCATTAATATCTCTTGAAAGTAAAATTTTGCTGGAGATCATTCAAAAGCAGTTGCAGCAGTACATTGGCAGGGAACAGCCAGAAATTCAAGCCTGATTCAGGAGAGGACATGGAATGAGGGATATCATTCCTGATGTCAGATGGATCTCAGCTGAAAACAGAGAATACCATAAAGATGTTTACCTTTGTTTTATTGACTATGCAAAGGCATTCGATTGTGTAGATCATAACAAATTATGGAGAACATTTTGAAGAATGAAAATCCCAGAACACCTCGTTGTGCTCATGAGGAACCTTATACATAGACCAAGAGGCAGTTGCTCAAACAGAGTAAACGGAAACTGCATGGTTTAAAGTCAGGGAAGATGTGTGTCAGGGTTGTATCCTTTCACCACACTTATTCAATCTCTATGCTGAGCAAATAATTTGAAAAGCTGGACTATATGAAGAAGAACACGGCATTGGGATTGAGGAAGACTCATTAACAATCTGCGTTACGCAGGTGACACAACCTTGCTTGCTGAAGGTGAAAAGAACTTGAAGCACTTACTGATGAAGAACAAAGACCGCAGCCTTCAGTATGGATTACACCTCAACATAAAGAAAACAAAAATCCTCACAACTGGACCACTAAGCAACACCATGATAAACAAAGAAAAGACTGACATTGTCAAGGATTTCATTTTACTTAGATCCACAATCAACACAATGGACGCAGCAGTCAAGAAATCAAACAACGCATTGCACTGGGCAAATCTGCTGCAAAAGACCTCTTTAAACTTTTAAAAAGTAAAGCTGTCACTTTAAGGACTAAGGTGCCCCTGATCCAAGCCATTGTGTTTTCAATCACCTTATATGCATACGAAAGCTGGACAATGAATAAGGAAGAAGAATTGATGCCTCTGAATTACGGTGTTGGTGAAGAATACTGAATATACCATGGACTGCCAGAAGAACGAACAAGTCTGTCTTGGAAGAAGTACAGCCAGAATGCTCGTTAGAAGCAAGGATGGCAACACTTGGTCTCATATACTTTGGACATGCTATCAGGAGGGACCAGTCCCTAGAGAAGGACATCATGCTTGGTAAAGTAGAGCGTCAGAGAAAGAAAGAAAGATCCTCAACAAGATGGCTGCAACAAGGTGGCCTCATCAGTGGCTGCAACAATGGGCTCAAGCATAACAATCATTATGAGGATGGTGCGGGACCGGGCAGTGTTCCCTCCTGTTGTACATAGGGTCGCCTTGGGTCAGAACTGACTTGATGGCACCTAACAACAACAGCATGTGCATTTGGGGATGATGTGAGCTGTGGGGGCAAATTGAAGGGTGTGTATGCTGTGATGTGATGTATGTTCTTATGGTGTGACATGAACTGTCAGCAATTGTGATATGGTAAGAGGTACATGATGTTTAGGGTGAAATGAGGTGTGTGTGTTTGGGGGAATAATTTGAGATGTATGTTTTTGCAAGTTGTGTATATGTGTTTTTAGAAGTTGTGTAAGGCTTTGTGTTTTGTGGTATATGACGTGTGTGTTTGTGGTATGATGTAGGAGTGTCTGTTTGTTGTATGATATAAAGTATATGTGTTAATGGCATGATATGAGGTGTGTGTGGGAAGTGTGCATTTGTGGTGTGCGTTATGTGTGTTTGTAATGTGACTTAAGGTGTATGTGCTATGATGTGGTATGTGTGTGTTTTATGATGTCATGTGTATATGTAGTGTGAAGTGAGTAAGTCTGTAGTGTGAGTTATGTGTGTTTGTGGTGTGACATGAGGGGTATGTGTTACGATGTGAGGTCTATGTGTGTGTGTGTGAGGTGTGTGTGTCTGCCGTGTGATTTGAGGGATACGCGTATATGTGGTATGAAGTGAGTTAGGCGTATGTGTTTGTTATGATGTGAGGTATAGGGAGGTGATATGTGTGTGTTTGTGGTATGACTTAAGGTGTGCATGCGTGTTATAATGTGAGGCCTGTGTGTGTCTCAGGAGAGATTGAGGCCACCGTGGCGTGTACACAGCATAGAAACGAAGGTTAAGAGGCCTGGATTTCCCCGAGCCCGTGTTCTGCATCGGCCTCATCCTGGCGACCACGTCCAAAAAGAGCCTGCTCCCTTAATGAGCCGTGCTCCCTGAGGCAAGGCCCTCCCTCTGGGGCACACCTGCCTCCCTGCACAGCCCCAGTCCTGAACACTCCTGACCCAGGCCCACTCCTGGCTCACTCAAGGCTGCCCTTGAACACACCACAGGACGTTGCACTGTCCCGGCGGGCCTCGTCACGGTGCCTTGCCACCGTGTTTATGGACTTCTTCCTTCAGTCAGATTGGTCCATGTAAGCCACAGCGTGGCAATGCAGCAAGACAGTGGTTTGATTTCCTCGATTATTTCTGGAGCGCTCACGCTGATGTGCAACCTTCCTCATTCTGAACCTTCCACAGGACAAAGAGGGTCTTGGTGGAGCCAACACCACAAAACAGCTGTAGGCTGCTGGAGGGCCTGGTTCACAGTGGGCAGCGAGCAAGAGGCATGCCACGTCCCTGCTCGCCTTCGTCTTCCACCATTACCCTCTTGCAGTGAAAACCCTCTCCCCTGCAGGGAGCATGCATGCATGAGCCCTCTGAGGCCCGGGAGCCGGGATGCTGAGCAGACCAGGCGTTATTTGGTTCGTTATGATGTGACGTGTAGGGAGGTGATGTGTGTAGCCCACATCACACATCTGAGGGGCTGTGCAGCTGCTACACTCCACGGATCTTTCCCACACACAGATGAGGAAACCGAGTTTATGATATGCCACCTCCCAAGCTCCTTGCTCTACACAGGTTACTCTGTCCCTGCCCTGGGCCCTTCTCCAGCTGCCAGAAAATAGCTCCAGCTGATGCCAAAAATTACAGGGCTGGAGGCTGCTGTACACACGGCCGGTCCCCACAAGGCCTACTCCACAAAGGCACAAACTCCTGTTGCTGTTGAGTCAACTCCGACTCACAGCGACCCTACAGGACAGAGCAGAGCTGTCCCATAGGGTTTCCAAAGAGCACCTGGTGGCTTTGAACTGCAGGCCTTTTGGTTAGCACCCCGTAGCACTTAACCACTGCACCACAAGGCCTGTGGTCACCTATAAGCCACATCTGCACCTTACCTCTGAGCCCCAACACCTAAGAGGTGCAAGGGTCCCGCCGCCTTCCTACACACCCCTCCGTGATGCGCTCACTCTGTTCCTCTGTAACCTGAATTCACCTGTATAGAATGTTGGGGGGAAGGTGGTGATTGAATGGTTGGCCCAGGCCACATAGGAGTCCCTGAACCCTGCTATGGGGACACTCCCCACCCACCCTCACCTGCTGTGAAGTTGCAGGGTTCTTAGGATGTCCTGGTGCCTCTCCTCAAAAAGATCCAGGGCTTCATGGATCATTCAATACCAAACGTGTAAGGCCCAACGTTTTCGGCCTTCTTGGACAGAGCTAGGTGTGGGAGCTGTTCTTGACTAAGGCCCAGGCTGCCTTGGGAGATCAGGGATTGGAGGTGTATGCGGGAAGTCCGCATGGGAAGGCTCTCCCATGGTGGGACGATCAGGGTGCAGCCAGGCAGGTCAGGAGGAAATGAGAGGTGATGATCCTAAAGGGTCAAAGTCCGAGCACCAGCTAGGGCCGGGAAAACCGCAGGGCAAATGTGCTGCAGGTGAATATCGGTCCGTAAACAAATTTATTCGGATGAGAACAGGCTAGGGTGCGCTAGAGCAGGCACCTTGGCGCTGTCCTCAGAAAGCACCAAACGCTGAGCTGAGATGCCGGGGGCGTCCCAAAGGGCCAACTGTTGGCCGCCTTCTGGATGGGCCTCGGGCGCAGCCTGCTGGCTGCGCTGCGTAGCTGCACGCGGAACCCCGGCGCCAGTCCGGGGGTCCGGACCATGCAGACCTCCGCAGCTGGTGAGGTCTCCGGGGACAGCTACCCGATGGGAACCCACCGCCAGCTGCTGGTGGCCTTGGGGGAGGGGGGCGGTCCGAGGGCTGAATTTAGTCCCTGTCCTCTGAGCTCTGGGCCAGGCCAGTGTTGCTCAGGAAATGCCCGCCACCCCTAGGGTGCTGATCCTGCGGCCCTGCGCGCCCTGCTGGGAGAGGGTGTCGTCGAGGGGTGGCGGGTGGGGAGGAGTCTGCGGGGTCCACGCCAGGCCGGGGGAGGGGAGGAAGGAGTGGGCGGAGCCCGGGGCGGGGCCGTTCCTGCGCTCTCTCAGCCGGTCGCCAGCCCCAGCTTACCTCTCGTCCAGGGACATGCCGGGCACGCCAGGCGCCGCGGCCACCCAGGATGGAGAGGCCCCCGGGCGCTCCCCGCCCTGCAGTCAGAGCTACGATCTCACGGGCAAGGTGGGTGGGCGCTGCGCCCAGCGCCGGGGACTCCATACGGGCTCCGAGGGGCGCCCCTCCCGGTGCCCTTGTCCCTGAGACCCCAGCCTTCCCTGCCCAGCCCCTTTCTGGCTGCGACTGCAGTGGATTCAGCCCTTCCCCAGGCAGCAGGGTCTCCCGGAGGAGGGAAGGAAGGAGGGTCAAGAGGCAACCTCTGGGCGCACCCCAAATTCTAGGGATGGGGCTGGCTCGGCGGGGCGGGGCGAGGAAGGTCGGAAAGACTGAGCGACTCCGGATCTCTGGGACCCCAAGTCCTGGTGGCGCAATGGTTAAGCGTTCGGATGCTAACTGAAAGATTGGCTGTTCGAACCCACCCGCAGCTACGGGGGGAAAGATGTGACAGTCTGCTTCCGTAAAGATTTAGTCTTGGAAATCCTATAGGGCAGTTTTACTGTGCCCTATAGGGTCGCTATGAGTCGGAATGGACTCGAGGGCAATGGGTTTGGTTTGGTCTTTTTGACTCTGCGGCCAAGGAGCCCTGGCGGCGCAAATGGTTAAGAGCTCAGATGCTAACTGCAAGGTTGGGGGTTCAACCCACCCAGCGGCTTCCGTAAAGATTACAGCCAAGAAAACCCTACTCTGTCCTATAAGGTCACTGTCAGTCGCAATTGACTTGTCAGCCCCATGCCTCTAAAACAAACAAACAAAAAAAACTTGTAGTCTATTCCAACTCATAGTGACCCTACAGTGCAGGGTGGAACTGCCCCCATAGGGTTTCAAGTCTGTAATCTTTACGGAAGCAGACTGTTGGATCTTTCTCTGTGGAGCTACTGGTGGGTTTGAACCACCCACCTTCCGGTTACAAGCCCAGCTCTTAACCACAATGCCACTAGGGCTTCTATACCTCTCAGTAGGAATTAAATAAACAACCCTCCGAAGGCACAGACGCCCACAGTGCTAGGAAAGGGGCTGCCGGGAGACTCAGCCAGGACACCCTATAGCGGAGGGGCAACTCGAAGTGAGCGCCCTTTTTGTAGCTAAGCTCAGTGGGGACATGATATCCCATTTCAACGTCCTAGCCTGAAATATCCTCCTGGTCCCCCAGCCTTACTCCTTCCCTTCCCACCCACTCCTGTCACTGTTCCTCATCTTCCTTTTGAGGAAAGTGTTGCCAACCAGGAAGCAGGCCCACCTGGGAATGTTTAGAGCCTGAGAAAGAGCTCATCGGTTAGCCACAACTTCCCTCACCTGGGAGGGGGGCCGTAAATCAGCTCTCTGGGACCCATTCCCTCTGTGCAGGGTTGTCCTGTACTGATGCAGGTGAGGGTGGCAGTGGACACTGGTCTGTTGCGCCTCCCTCGGTGCCTGCGGAAAGGACACATACCAGGAGCTCTGAGAGTGGGCATAGGTGAGAGGGGGCTATCCAGCCTTATGCTGCATGACCTTGAAGGCAACCTGCCTCTTGCTGTGCCCTAGTTTCCTCCCCGTGCCTCCCAGCATTCACTCTCACTGGGAGCCCCGCCTCCACCCCCAGCATTTCAGGGGAAACCACTCTGCAAATCAGCCACTCTGAGCTGTTGAGATAATCGTCCTGTGTGTGCTGGTGGCAGGAAATGGGCCCCTGCACCTTGAGGGGAGGGGAGCGGCCAATGGCCAACCCCAGCCTGGTGGGACCACCTGGCCTCCTTGCCCCACAAGCCAACTGGGCTGTTTGCTAGGAGGTGGCAAACTGGGCAGTTGTTTGTGTTTGGTGGCTTCGCCTGGCTCGGTGGGTGGCTGCATCGTTTGCTCAAGGCAGCTGTGATCTGTAAAGTACACAGGCACTCGACTGCCCTCCCTCCTTCCTTTCCCGGGGGCTGGGAGCAGGAGCCAGAGAGGAGGGTGGGCTCCAGAGTGCTCCCCACCCCCACTTTCCACCTGGCCCCCTGGTCGAGTCCTTTCCACACTCCCCAGTCCCAGACTTGTCCCAGGGACTGAGTCTAGGACAGTCTGGGAGGATCCTGGAGGCAGCTCCTCGGGCTGGATAAGAGGAACGGGGGCCCCTGAGCCACTCCTCCCTGTCTCAGGTGGTTGGAAAGTTTGCTGTTCATGTCAACATTATTGGCCTTAATCAATAACAGACTCCCAGGAGGCCTCAGAGGAATGAGCCTCCTCCCCTCCACCCATGTAGAAACCACACCGCAGAGAAACGGTCTTCTCAAAGCCAGGACTCCAGCCTTCAAACACCTTCTGCTCAGCTCCCCGGCTTCTTGCCAAAACTAGCTAATCCCACTGCCCCATGCCTTTAGGCTCTATTATCAAGGTCAAAACAAAAAACAAAAAACCCGTTGCCACCAAGTTGATTCCACGCTTCAAGGTAAACCTGTGCTTCATAGGGTTTTCAATGGCTGTGACCTTTGGGAAGTAGATCTCCAGGGCTTTCTTCCAAGGTGCCTCTGGGTGGATTTGAACTACCAACCTTTCAATTAGTAGCCGAGCTCTTAATCATTTGCACCACCCAGGGACTCCTATTGTCAAGGTCAGAGCCTCACAAATAATGCCGGTTTAGGTCTAGACCTCTGTTTTGCAAGGTTGAAGAATGACAGGACAAGGGGCTCCCCACCACCACCCCTAAGTGTCCCCCAGAGGAGAACAGCAGAGACTGGTTAGACAATAAAGGGGAGGGGCGTATCCCACCCCACCCACTCCCTCCCTGGAGCTCCTGCTCTGCTTACCTAGAGTGACCTGGGATGCCATTTCTAGCCACTTGTCCATTTGGGTTGTTTCTGCTGGAAGAACTTCAGACTAAGCGTCTCCCCTCTTCAGTATAAGTTTCAACCTTTCCTAATTCGTGCAAGCCTTTACAACCATAGAATGTCATTGTAAAACTTCCAACTCGATGTTGTGACTCAAAAACCCCAAACAGTAGTCATTTTAGAATGTGCCTGTGCAACCCACAGTGTCCACCCCCTCAGATCCTGACATGCTCCTGCAGGTGAGAATATCCCTGTCTGAGATGTGAACACTTCCCATTCCCAGCAGTCCAGCCCCGCCCATATGTGTCTACATGAGGCCAGACTCACAGAGAGGGACTAATCCCTGCCTGGTGTGGGTGGATGTGGCCAGAGTCCAGACCACATAAGTGTAGTGCTTCCCTGTGGCCACCAAGCACATCTGGGAACCTCCTAGTGCCAAGACCTTGACTCAGGCTTCCAAGAAACTGCATGAGGACAGGAGGGTCAAAGGGAGCACCTGAGAGGTGAGCTGAGCCAAAGAATTTGGAATGAAGGGACAGGTGAAGCCGTGGGAAGGCTTTGGGAAGCAGGTACCTCTCAGAGCTGTCAGCATCCTTCCTCCTCTCTCCCCCTCTGACCCTCTCTCCAGGGCCACTCTCCCTGGAAGCCCGGAAGCACCCCCTCCCCCAAGCCCCATTAACTGCCTCTGCCCCCATCTCCTAGGTGATGCTTCTGGGAGACTCAGGCGTCGGCAAAAGCTGTTTCCTACTCCGATTCAAAGACGGGGCCTTCCTGTCCGGGACCTTCATAGCCACCGTCGGCATAGACTTCAGGGTGAGGTGCTGCAGGCTCCTCCTCCCACAGCCAGCTGGGGCTCAGGTGACAGGGGTGCTGCCCTTGCAGCTCCTAAGGACCCCTGTGACTCGCCGCCTGGGGGGCACTAAGATGCTCCCCTAGGGACCACAGAGGGGCTAGAGGATTCTGCCTTGGTGGGCCCCTTTGCCCACTTACAGGATGGAAGAAACCACGGATGAGTCTTCCTTTTCCTCCACTCCTGGGGGGAAGGGCTGCCCAGGACAGGGCCGACACCTCCCACTGGGTGAGCTGACTGTCCTGGCCCTCGGTGCCCCGTATTCATTGCTCTTTGCGACAGGCCCCTTTGGCAAGGCCCCCAAAGGCCAATCAGCAACGCATGGGGTTTAAGAGCTGGACTGGTCATGTGGGAGAGAGCAGCTTGTCACCCTGACGACTCCATCTTTACAAATCTGCATCGGGGATGCGGAGTATTGCATGCCCACCAGGACCAGGACAGGAAAGGTCTAGCCCTGGCACGTGGGGTCTGCAGAGGCCTGTGCCTCCCTCCCAGTTGGAGCTGAAACTTCATGTAGCAGAACAAGGGAGCCAGCTAGAGGAAGGATACCCCTGCAGATAGATCCCAGCCTCTAAGGTCCCGGGCTGCTGGGAGGCATCTCGTCTCTGAGAGCCAGGTTGCAGTGATGGGGCTGAGCTCTGGGAGAGGCAGACTGAAGTGGGGAGGGGCAGGGACTCCAGTGTCCACTTTGTGCTGCCTGTCGAGCCTTGGGGAGAGCCAGGCAGGTTCCCAGGCTCCCCTTGCCCTGCTGTGTTGTGAGAAGAGTAGATAGAGCCCCCAGAAGAAAAGGCTCCACAGTGGAGGTGTCTGGGGACAGGCTCCCCACTGTCCCGATGGGGTGATCTGGCTGGTGATGTCCCTGGGACTCATCACATCTCCTCAAGCCCTAGAGAGGGACCAGGACAGGAGCCTCCACAGGAGGTTGTCTGCAGAACTCAGGACCCAAGCCGCCCCGCCTCCGCACCCACCTTTTCCTCTGCCCTTCTGTCTTTCAGAACAAGGTGGTGACCGTGGATGGTGTGAGGGTGAAGCTGCAGGTGAGACAGGGGCTGGGAAGGGACAGGAGGATGGAGAGCCTGCCCTAGCTCCCCAGCCAAAATCACGCATGGCCTGCAGCCCAGCCCTCAGCCTGGGGTAATTTCCTGTGGGGCACAGGAGAGGAAATGGCTTGTGATTGTCTGATATCTGCAGAAAAAGCAGTTCCCAGCCACCCTGTCTTCAAAGGCAGCTCCAAATGCCTTCAGACAAGCTCAGCCTCCCTTCATCTCCTCACCAGTTTCCAGGGCCTCATCCACTCTAGGTTGGACACCCCCAGCCCCTGGGCTGGGGAGGAGGAGACAGCCTGAATGAGCTTGAGAACTCAAGTAACCACCACTTTTTAGGAGGTTGTCAGAGGCCCAGAAGCCCATGAGAACCTAGAGAAGGAAACCATCCCACCTTCCCACACACATCACTCACACACCATAACACGAGTTTCCTCTACCCAGCACAGTCCTTCCACCCTGCCTCCTCCTGCCCATTTCTCCATCCTTTCCTAGATCTGGGACACCGCGGGGCAGGAGCGCTTCCGCAGTGTCACGCATGCCTATTACCGAGATGCCCAGGGTAAGTTCTCATGCCCTCCAGCCCCTTCTGCCAACCCGTTTGTGGCATACATCCTTCTGCTCCAAGTCACCCCTGTGCTCTCTCTCCTGCTCCAGCCCTGCTCCTGCTGTATGACATCACCAACAAATCATCCTTCGACAACATCCGGGTAGGTTCTCCCTTCCCTTGGCTCCCCACACACCCACCCACCCATAAGCAGCCAAGACAGAGCCTATGCAGGCCAGTGGGAGGGGGTGGAACATGGAAGACTGCTGCCTTCTGAACAAACACCTGAGCTGTGACTCAGACATAACAGCTGCTGCTGGGTATTTGACTGGCATGTGGATGTGGAAGCCCAGCAGGCCATTCTGCCACTGTGCCACTTATATAGCCCTGACTGTGATTCATGGGTATGTTTCATGTCAAGGTGTTCAGAAATTTCCAGCTTTACCCTGGATAGTTACCCACAGAGACCAAAGAGAGAGCCCAACCACAATCGTCTACACGTACATCCAGCCCAAGTCACAAGAAAGTGACTTAGGCAGACAATGAATGTCTATGTCCTCACAACCAAACTGTTCAAGAGTAGAGACAATAATTCAACAAATACAAGCACCTACTCTGTACACAGCACTGTATAGGTTACATGTGCTCCCTGACCTCAAGGAGCTGACAAGCCAACTAGAGGAACAAGGCAGACAGATATAAGACAGTGGCAAACCCATGGCACTCAGGTTGCCATTGCCAATGCCATGCTTATGGCAGACATTACTAATCAATCACAGTACTTTTGCCCACTGAGCCCTTATGTAGCCTTAGAATCTTCAACAGGGCACTCTAGGAAATCACTGGTGACTACCAACTGATTTGTGAAATACCGTTTCTGTGCCACCTGTATCTTCCATAACACTAAGAATTACACTGTATAGGATTGGTGGGGGGGTCATTGTGGGTTGGGCAATCGAGGAAGGTCAACCAGAGGAGGTGAGACTTGAGCTGTGCATTGCAAGTAAAGATGAGAATAGGAGAAGACTTGGGCTAGAGAGGCCAGAACAAAGATGCAGATGAGAGAATGCACCTGGTGTCATGTTCAGGGGGCAGTGAGTAGGCCATAATCAGACAGGGTAGAAGGAAGGGTGAAAGGGAAGAGGGGAGTGGCCTGGTCCTCTGCCTTGCCCTGGCTCAGTTCGCCCTCTCCCACAGGCCTGGCTCACTGAGATTCACGAGTATGCGCAGAGGGATGTGGTGATCATGTTGCTAGGCAACAAGGTGAGTGGTTCCATGGCAGGGTCAGCTCACCCTGCACCTCCTCTTCTAGTGCCACAGGATCAGCTTCACCCAGCCCCACAGTCACCCAAGAGTGTGTTATCTGGGCATCCTTCCAGCTAAGGACTCTTTCCGTCTCCAGTTCAGGGGTCAGACTCATCTGGAGGCTTCAGCCCAACTCATCGGCCTCTTAAAGCTTTGGAAATGGCCACTCCCAAGGAAAGAGATTCAGGGATGTCCAGCTGCTCGACCCCATGAGGTCATAGTGAGTAGGGTTACAGGTCAGAGGTTAAGACTGGAAAGGGTTAGCCCCAACTACTGACACCCTTCTGGGCTGGGCCACCACACCCTTTGCTAAGCAGAGTTACCCACCTCCCCTGTGCCAGGGGTGAGATCCCAGGGCAGAAAACCCGGCCCCCACGCCAATCACACCCATCTGCCCGCCCAGACTGCAGCTGCCTCTTCTCGGTCCCGCAGGCCACCAGCAGAGGGCGGGCAATACCCACTCCTGGGGCGAAAGATGGGCCAGCTGAGGCAGGAGAGGGGCCAGTTGGGGGCAAGGCCTCCTTCCTCAGAGTAACCCTTCTGGGTTTCCAGGCGGATGTGAACAGCGAAAGGGTGATCCGTTCAGAGGACGGGGAGACTCTGGCCAGGGTAAGTGACTGTCTGTGGGGCAGGCTGAGGGGTGGGGCAGCCAGAGGTGGCTGGCCCTAAGAACAAGCTCTCCCTGGTAGGAGTACGGAGTTCCCTTCATGGAGACCAGCGCCAAGACGGGCATGAACGTGGAGCTAGCCTTTCTGGCCATTGCCAAGTGAGCCTTGATCCGGGAAGGGAATCGCACAGGCAGGGTGGCAGCATCTGGGAACTCCACAGGGCCCAGCCCGGGGCCCCTCTGCATTCTGCATCTGCAGTCCATTTGGTCGGGGCGGTAGGAGTGGGGAGGATGCTCTGCTCCTCATTCCCAGCTCAGACCACTGCTTCTTCCTCTTCAAGGGAGCTGAAATACCGGGCCAGGGGGCAGGCCGATGAGCCCAGCTTCCAGATCCGAGACTATGTGGAGTCTCAGAAGAAACGGTCTAGCTGCTGCTCCTTCGTGTGACCAAGGGGCTCGGCGGAGGCTCCACAGGCCCAGAGGATACAGCCATCTCCCCCAACCTAGTCTATTCCCAAGTGGCTGAGCCAGTGGGGGGAGAGCTGGGGACCTGGTGCACAGCCCCTTCCAAGAGGGAGCTGTCCTCCAGCTTCTACCCTAGTTACTGTAGCTTCCCTGCATCCTGGGAGGGTAAACTATTTACATTTCATTTTAATGTTACATAATTTAATACCAAAAAAGGGCACCAGGGTCCCCAGAAGACGGGCAGCAACCTGGTGGCCCTGTTGTCCTTCAGTATTAGGACTTCTTACGTGGCTGGGCCTGCCTTCTGGCCACAACAAGGAAGGCATTGCTCCAGCCAGCACCAGGGGGTACTGGTGCACTTCTGCCTGGTAACCTGAGGCGTGAGGGCTGGTAGTGACCCTGTTACTACTTTAGCTGGAAAGAGGCTGAGCAGACCCCAGCCGTCATTTCTTCCAGCTCGCCAGGGAACAATCTTCCCCAATAAGACAGGCCCTTGTGCTGGAGGCCTTAGGGGAGATAAGAGATGTGGCTGTGGGAAGGGGCCCAGTGCCCTGGGAGGGAGAAAGAGGAGCAGCAGAGCCCAGGGTCTGTTTGGCTACCTTCAGGCCTTACTAACCGCCTTCCGGGAGACATGTCCCTTTTCCTCCAGCATACAAGCGCACGGGGGCACCTGGGAACATTTGGTTCCTCTTCTCTGGAACTCAGATCCCAAGGAAGCGCCTCCTTCCTGAACCCCTGATCTTATTCACCTTTCTACCTGAGCCCCTTAGACACCTAAGATCAGAGCTGGGAAAAAGATTTTCTTTTTGTCCCAAATCCTTGGCAGTACACAACCCCACAGGCCACTTTTCAAACAGCTGTAGCACTTCTACTGGGTTAGGATCTGCATAAAGAGAAACCCCTGGTTTCTGCAGCAGGTGGGAGGCATAACTGAGCAACCCTCTCCCCACCTGTATCCCCCTAACCCAAGCTCTGCCTCCTCCCTGACCCCACCCCACCCCAGACCCTTTTCTTCTCAAACACCAGGGCCAAAACTGCTTTATCTCCCTCCTACTGAGCCAGGTAAATTAATGCAACGTGTGGGTATATATAATGAAAAATGAGGACAGGCGGATATGTCTGAGGTGAAGACGAGGGTCAGCAAGGGGTTTCTGTGGGGCCAGGGTCACACATTTCCCAAAGCCCTGGCCCAGCGGTTGGAAGTGGACAGGAGAGGCACCTTTACCCCAGCTCGGAGAGGGTTGAGGAAGAGAAATGTGCTGCCCATTCATGAGGACAACTGCATTTGCTTTCAAGGCAGAAATCTTGCTCTCTGAGCAGAGTCAGCAGCTCCCACTTGGGCCTGATAAGGAAGCTCTTGGGGGCCTCTCCCAGCCAGAGCAGGGAGGAGCCTGACCTTGCCAGGCTCTGGGGACCCCAGGCAGGTCACATGCCATTCTATCACGTGGGCTGCTCTGGGTCTGTAGCATTTGTGTTCTTCAGAATTAAATTGCAGTATTTTGAAAAGTACGCCCCCTGCTTCTTTGAGATGTGTCGGGGGCGGGGGGGGGTCATGTTAAAGGGATTTTTATTGCAAGTTGGAAGAACTGTCAAAACAAACCCATTGCCGTGGAGTCTATTCCAACTCATGGTGACCCCATGTGTTACAGAGGAGAACTGTCCCATAGAGTTTTCTTGGCTGTAATCCTAATGGAGAAGGAGCCCTGGTGGCGCAATGGTTAAGTGCTCAGTTGCTAACCGAAAGGTTGGTGGTTTAAACCCACCAGCCACTCCACAGGAAAAAAGACCTGGTGATCTGCTCCAGTAAAGATTAAACAGAAAACCAAACCCATTGCCCTTGAGTCAATTCCAACTCATAGCAACCCTATAGAACAGAGTAGAACTGCCCCATAGGGTTTCCAAGGAGTAGCTGGTGGACTAGAACTGGCGACCTTTAGGTTAGCAGCCAATCTCTTAATCACTGTGTCACCAGGGCCCAATCCAGTAAAGATTACAGCCTAGGAAACTCTATGAGGCAGTTCTACTTTGTCCTATAGGGTCGCTATGAGTCAGAATCAACTCTAAGGCACACAACAATCTTTACTGAAGCAGATCTCTAGGCTTGTCTTCTGAGGTGCCCCTGGCTGGGTTTGAACCTCCAACCTTGAGGGTTAGCCGAGAGCAAACCGTTTGTACCATACAAGGATCCTCACTGGGGGCCAAAATCATTCCATTTCCCCTCATCCTTGGATTTCCCCGATTGGTCTGCTCACCCTTAACAGAGCCTGTGAGCAGCCCTCATCTGGCAGGAGGCAGCTGGAAGAAGGCTTATCTCGTAGTCCTAATAGTTTATTTAACTGTTGAAAATAGTTAGGGCTTTTTTCTCTGTGGAGGGTATCCAGAGGTTGGTTACCTGACTCTGTTCTGCCTCTCCCCATCCCACTTCCCTAGCCAAACGCTGACGCCATTGCCCACACCACTGCCCACAATGGCCTGTCTTCAGTGGGTTGCCCCACGGAGCCTCGGGCTTTGCAGAGCCTCACGCCTTCCCCGCAGGGATCAGAGCCCGTACCCCTATAAGCATGTCCTGGAGGAGAGGAAAGTGACTCCACAGATGGGAAAATGTCGTTATTCGAACAACTATTGGGTCAGAGTTGGTCGCCGGTCTTACACGTTAGGCCGCTGGAGCCTCGCTGCCCGGGAGCAAGAACGGTTTCCCCGGCAACAGCGGTTCACCCAAAGCAGCTGCACCCGGACTTTGAACTGAAGAGTCTTTTCCCCGAGCGCTGAGTCTCCTCAATCCCCGCCACAGGTGAGGGAAACCAAAACAGAGCCTGCGGGGCCCTCCGCCCAGTGCTAAGAACTCACAGGGTCCCCGCCCTGCCGCGCGACTCCGGCCACTTGTTAACAAACACTTCCACTTCCTGAGCCGCGTTCTTCGCCCACTGCGGGGCGCCGAGCCGAACTCAGGCCCCGCCTCGCGCACTCCGATTGGCCCACGGCGTTCACCCGGCCCGAGCACCCCCTCCTGTGGGCCCTCATTGGCCCGCGGCGGCCCACACCCGCGATGCGGCCCCGCCCTTAACCACGGGCGAGTTCTGGAACGTGCACACACCGCGCTGTGCGGAATTGGCTGGTTGGCTTCTCCAGCCTTTCGCGGTGCTCGCCCGCAGCCGCCGAGACACCTGCTCGCTCCACCCGTCTGAGTGCTGGGATTCCCGCCGCGCTCGCGGCTTCGCGGGGCGGGAGAAGGGCTGGCCGTGCAGTTTCTAGCCTCAACGGGGCCCCGCGTGGCGCCGTTGAGCTGTCGCCGGGTGACATGAGCGCGGCCGCGGCGACCGGGGCTCCCCTGCCCCGGCTCTGCTGCCTGGAGAAGGGTCCGAACGGTTATGGCTTCCACCTGCACGGGGAGAAGGGCAAGGCGGGCCAGTTCATCCGTCTGGTGGAGCCTGGCTCGCCGGCCGAGAAGTCGGGGCTGCTGGCCGGGGACCGACTGGTGGAGGTGAACGGCGAGAACGTGGAGAAGGAGACCCACCAACAGGTGGTGAACCGCATCCGCGCCTCGCTCAATGCCGTGCGCCTACTGGTGGTCGACCCCGACGTGGACGAGCAGCTGCAGAAGCTGGGTGTCACGGTGCGCGAGGAGCTGCTGCGCGCCCAGGTGGGGTCCGGGCCAGCCGAGCTGCAGGCCGCCACCGAGGCGCAGGGGGATGGCGGCGAGAGCGAGCCGCGCGAGGCCGAGAAGAGCCAAGCGGAGCGGGTAGGTGTGGGGCCCCGCGGGCGGCGAGCCTGTGGCGGGTGGGGCGACCCCGGCGCCCCGAACGCCCAGCCCCGCGCCCGCCCTTGTCGTTCTGAAACTCGAGCGGAGAGAAGACTGCTTCCGCTCGCCGTTCCGGCACTTGCAGTTCCAGGGCAGGCGTGGGGGCAGCCTCCAGTGATCCCCAGCCCTCTCCCCAGACTGGGCCCGGCCCCTGAGTGCCTTTGCTGTCTGCTCCTCTTGTCCTTCGGCTTTTGGGGTGGGGGAGGGGAGGCTGCTCCCGTTCCATGGAACCCCCTAGTTAGTTGTAGGGGATCTTCGCCCTCCGCAGGACCCTCCCAGTGCCCTCTCCTCGGCCACCCAACCCCCAGCCTGCAGTTGGGCCGGGGAGAGGGTTCCATTGCCCGAGAAGGGCCAGCTTCCTCCACGGTGAAGCTGGGGTGACAGTGAGCAGTGAGCGCGGCCTTGACTTCCAAAATCCAGAGTAGTGTAACAATCCCCTTCAGTGCCGAGACACAGCCCCGGGCCTGGGCGGGGAGGGTCGCAAGGAGGACTCTTCCGTGCCCCCTCCCCCCAGCCGGCTGGTGAGTGTATGATTAACAGCCTGGCTGGACTTCATCCTCCTCCTGAAGTCCGCTGTGACTTCTAAGGAGGGAGGAAGCCCCACGTCCCCGGGCTGTGGGGTGGGAGTGGAGGGGTGCTGGGAGGAGGCACGGAGGCGTCTCGGGGGTGGTGGCTCTGCCACCCAGGATTTATGCTTCTCAGGAATGTGAGGAGTAAGCGCTAGCTTGTATCAGGGGGCGGGAAGGAGGACTTGGAGGAGGAGGAGAAAGAGGGCTGGAGGGGCGGGGATGGCGGCCGGTGGCACAGGGCCAGGAAGTGGCTCACTGAGCACCGTGGGCAGGTAGGCATGGCCCCCAGTCCCGGGACAGCAAGCTGGCCAGTGGCGCTTTGGTTCATCTCATTTGGATCAGCTGCAGAAGGGGCAGCTGGCAAAACAGAAGTTGTTATTCCGAGCCTCCTGTCCCCAGGGAGTGAAGAGGGAGGCCCCTGGGTGCAGACTCTGGGAGCTAGGGCTGGGATCCCCCAGGGCCTGTTTAGCTTGCACCAGCTCTCTTCCTGGTGGCAGTATGTGGCCAACAGAGAAGGGACACACTTCAGCACTGAGGTGGAAGGTGGAGCCCTTGAGAGAGGGCCTACTGGTTTGGTGCAAGTGAAGGAAGTGAGGTCACCAGGGGCCCTGTTCAACCGGAGCTGGGTGCCTGGAATGCCAGGGCAGCCAGGCTACTGCTTCCTGCCCCTTCCCAGCTGGCATTGGCAAGGGGTGGGGGGAGGGGCCGGAGCACCCCAGCAGAGAGTTGACACTGCGGATTTGGAACTGATGACCTCTGGTCCCAAGCAGAATAATCCGATTTGAACCTTGGGCTGAAGCATTGATTTGTCATTCCCCCCCACCCTTTTTTTTTTTTTTAGACTTTGGGACCCACACAAATGCCCATCCCCTAAGTTTCAGTCATGTTCAGCTCTCCCTTTGCCATTTTGGTTTTGCTGCTGGGTGCGTGGAGACTTGACGTAACACTCGTGCTCACAGCTGTCTGGAAAGGCAGTGTGTGGGCTTCCTGCTCTCTGGGTGAGCACAGAATCGGATTCCCCCGATGCCTGTGTGCCACTTAGGCAACGTACAGTTGTATGTACTTTGCTAGGTCAGGAGAAGGAAGTAGAACCACCTCTAGCGAGTCCTGGGGACACCGCTACCAGGCCTCTTGGGGTTTCAGGTCAACAAGCAAGTCACAGGACCTCTCTGAGCCTTGGTTTTCCTATCTGTAAAATGGGACTCCATGAAGCCTTCCTTCTCGAGGATTTTACTCATTGCCGAATCGAGCTTCTTTATGCCCAGGCATTCCAATCACAGCTCTGTGCGGCAACTCCTTCCACCTGGCCAGTCAGAGCTGTTAAGTCCCTCTAGTAGACAAATCCTATCATCTGGTAGGGTGAGAGAAAAGGGACCTACTCTGTTGTTGCAAAAAATGTTAATAAACATTGTAAGGGTTTTTTTTTTTTTTTTTTTTTTTCCCCTAAAAGGCATCCCTTTCCTATATAAGGCATCTGATTGAGTTTTACTAATTAGTTTTAGCCTGAATTTGTTTGCACAGTAGGGGCTATTATAGTATCTTCATTAGTTCTCATAGGTGAAAAAAAAGGTATAAGTGGTAAAGTGCCTGGGCGTAGGTGGCATCTCGCTGGGGAGGCCACCAGAGTCAAGAGCAACACAAAGCAGAGGGTGAGGTGGGTGCCACGTGGGTGTCCTATCTTTGGCTGCCTATGACACTGGCTGACAATGCTGGTCTCCGTCTAGCCCCAGACGGTGAAGGTGTAGATCAAGCTCTGCCTACCTGCTCTGTTGATGGCCCTCCCCACCTCCACCCCCACCATGGGGAGAGAGAAGCAGCAATCCCCACCATGGCGCTCCCCTACTTAAAGCCTCCCCCACATTCACCACCAGTCACAGGATAATCCTTCATACACTGAGCTTGGTAGTTGGGCCACCTTGAGCCAAGTTACTTAACTTCTCTAAGCTTCCATTTCCTCTTGTGTAAATTCTGGGTGATACCAGCAACTTCATGGGGTCATTGGGATCAAGTGGGGATGTATATAAAGCAAGAAGCTCAGCGCACAAAGTGCCCACTCAGGAAATATTGACTTTTTGTTATTGTGTGAATTCATACATATTTCACAATGATTATTACACTGCCAGAGTCCTGATGGCGTAGTGGTTAAGAGCTTGGCTGCTAACCAGAAGGTCAGCAGTTCAAATCCACTAGCTGTTCCCTGGAAACCCTATGGGGCCGTTCTACGCTGTCCTATAAGGTCGCTGTGAGTCGGAACCCGACTGACAGCACCTAACAATATCACACAGCCACCCATGAGGCATCTAGTACTGGTTCCACCCCTCACGTTGGGTAAGAGCAGCTGTGGCCCAAGCCTGGCATGCTCAGTAAGTGTTCAGTTATCGATCGCTGTGGTTTAATAATTATATGTTATTACAAGGCCCTTCACAATCTGGCAGCCTTCTCTCACCACTGCCCCTGTGTGTGCCCCCCTTTCCAACCAAACCACACCGAGGGTCCGAGTTTCCCTCAGGCATGCCATGCTGTCAGTCTCTAAGCCTTCGCGCTGACAATTCCACTGCCTGGGAACGCTTCCGGCCCTCTTTTCGTGGGGCACACTCTCCCAGTCCACTCTCCTCCCACAGAGCTTTTGCTTGATCTCGTGGAAAGAGTCAGCTCTTTGCCTCCCCAGCTCCTCCTGTTCTTTGTCCTTACGTCTTCTGTGGCTCTGAACTCCCTGTATTTTAGTCATCAGTTCATGACCTTCTCTTCCACTACATGTAAGTCCTGAGGGCAACAGCTGTGGTTTGTGTTTATAGTCCCCATGCCTTGCCCACGCTGTGCCTGGGGTAGGGAGGTGCTGGATCAGTGTTTATTAATGAACAAATGCAAAACAACTGTCAGGGAACTTTGACCTAACGATCCCAGTCCCACATACCTGAACCTGCGCCTGGAGCACACTCAGAGATAGGAATTCCAGGTAGAATGGAACATCCCAGATGGAACCTACCCACCCTTCTTTCTTGCCAACGCCCAGCTTCCATTTTAAGATCTTTCTAAGAAAACAAGAAAGCTGAAAATCTGGGCTTTGGGGTCAGCCAAATCAATGTGTGAATCCCATCTCTGCCACTCACTGGCTCTGGGACCCTAGGCAAGTTCATTGTTCCCTTCAAGCCTTGGCTTCCACCTCTGTGAAATGGGGACACCAGCACCTATCCAGCAGGGTTGTTGGGGAGATTCAAGTGTGTGTGTCTAAGTACCCAGCTTGGGTCCCTACCAGACCTAACCCCAACCAGAGGCAGAGATAGTGCAGACACCCCAGATGGCAGGCTGGGGGTTGGATGGGCACAGTAAGCTGGCAGCCTACCAACCTCTTCCCCAGGGAGGGAAGACCATTTCACATGGACTAAGCTGGAGCTTTGGAAAGGCAGGACCGGTTTCAATTTGAAATGGACAGAGTGTGGGATAGTTGGTGTGCTGGTTCTTCTTCTTAAGAATTTGGGCATCTTCTTCTCCTTTGGCAAAACAGGGTAGCCCCTGGTTCTCACCTTCAAGTTCCTCTTAAGTTTAAATGAGCGATTCTGGAGATGATTCTCTTGGAGGTAGAAAGGGGCTTCCCTCTCAACCTGGTATGTCTCGATGGGGGGCCTTTCTTCCCTCCCCTAGACTTCTATCCCAGGGGTCCTGAGGGGCTGGGAAAGCAGGGAGGGAGGGAGAACTCAGGACCCAGGGGAAGAAGGAGGTCTTGTTGGTGTGGTTCTGTGGGCCTTTTGGGGGGCGGAGGAGACCCAGGGCTCCAGAGCCCAATAATAGGTGTTCCTCTGCTTCTGCTGCTCTGAGATAAAGTGTTCTACCTGGGAAGGAAACACAAGTTTATAGTGCACCTACTAGTTGCCCAGCCCTGTGCAGTAAAGACACAAATACGCATTTCATTGATTTCTCCATGGCAACCCTGCAAATTAGGTGTTATTGTCTCCATTTTGTTAGTTGACAGTAAGCCTTCAGTAAATGGTGGTTATTATTTGTGTCTGGCAATATGCTAAGTACTAAACACACCTTCTCTCATTTAACCCAAACAACCACCCTGTGGGCAGGTATTAGCCCACTCTCTACATGTGGAGATGACACTCGGCCAGTGAAGGTAGCTGGCACCGGGTGAGCCTAGCAAACGGTGTGGCTTGGAACCCAGCTCTCTCCAATTCCAAGGTCCGTGCACATCTATTGGGCCAGAGTTTTGCTTAAGGGCCTGACTCTCCAGCTGGAGTGTCTGCCCATCAGGTTCTGGGCTACTCCAGGGCCATCTCAGTGGCATAAATCCAGGCTGCTTGAACCAGCTGCCTGTAACAGTCCAGGGAATTGTGCCTGGCTTTGAGCCAGGGCTCCCAGGTACTGGTG